CAAAGGACTGTGTGAATCTGGCGGAGCAGGCGAGATCATTTGATCCTAGAAGACAGCACGCCCTCTCAAAATCTCAAGATTGGGTAGTGGTTGGGTTTAGTCCCCTGGGTTCCCATAAGCTTAATGATGAGCACAAGATTGGCCTCGAAGCAGTTGGGTTTGTTTTTCTCCCTGCAGAGCAACCACCCGAGATCCGTATGATCCGAGGTGAGTCGTCGGAGTCTGAAGGAGAGAGCGAGGAATCTAGTTCTGTTTCAGGTGCAACTAGTGATCAGGAGGAGCATGCTAACCAGGAGTTGGATGCCGATCTTCAAGAGGACAGTTGCACGCCTTTCATAGGCTGGGACCCAACCGGAAGGGATCCTACCTGGGCCCCGCAAGTCAACCTTGAGGAGGAGAGTATGGCGGAATTCCTTCAAAAGAGAAGAGTTCCTTGGTTGCTGAGAAGATTGTGTGCGATTGGTGTGGAGTCACCAGCTGACCTGTATTATCTATATGTTGAAGATCTGGTAGAGGTTGGAATCCCTCTCGAAGAGGCGCAGCTGGTCATGCGTGGAATCCATCCTATGGGCACCATGAGACCGGACAATCCGTCATTGTGCTCCCTAACCACCGGAGAGGTCAGGTTGCTTGATAGGAGACAGAGACAAATTCCTTGGTCTTTGCAGAATCGCACTTTGTTTGAGAAAACTGCCGACCCTCCAGTAAGAGGTTTAGGTGTTAACACGGGTAATAGGATCGACCAAGCAGACCCTTACTATGAGGATTGGGAAGAACTTGAGCTGAGACACGGGTATGGTTTAGAGCCAGATCGAGACCCTAATTACCAACCAGGAGCTGCCAGCAGTAGCAGTGCCCAGCATCCCATTGAGAATCTACAGTCAGTGTACACCGAGGAATCGTCCAGTTCTCAGGTTGGGGTGCAAGTTGAGTCGTCATCCTTAGCGGCATCCAGCCAGCAACATCCTAGTGGAGCGTCCACATATGGACAAGAGTCGATGAGACTCCAGGCAATATGGGATGCAGCTGATGAAGATGAATTTAACTACTACGTGCAGAATGCTGTGTTCAATAGTATGAGTCCGTTGCCACAGCTGCAAGAGCCTGCTAGTAGTAGCAATGCCCAGCATCCCGTTGAGAATCAGTCAGTGTACACGGAGGAATCTTCCAGTTCTCAGGTCAGGGAGGATCATGTGTGCAAGGTTATCAGGTCTCAGGTGAATCCGGGTGGTGATGTGTGCGTGCAATCCACGACTATTCGTGTGCCAACAGATGATCCAATGAGCGTCCTTGTGAATACATCGGAATCTGTACAGGTTCCCGCTGAAGGTCAAGCTAGGATCGCAAAGGTTGATGAGACCACTTATACCAAGGATGTGGAGACTATCTTGGAGAACCTCACATCTGCACTCAAGGTTGTACACAATGTTTCCCCGAAGGAAATACGACAGTATTTGGAGCGTTGGAAGGATGCAGCCATGACTGAGGTCACAGCTCTCGAAACAATGAAAGCTATTCGCCGTTTGAAGGGCGACGAAGCGAAGCGCGAGCTTAGTATCGCAGGCACGCAGGTGATACCTGCTAAGACTGTATTCACAGTGAAACCAGGTTCTGGAAGCTCTCTGTTTCGCAGAAAATGCAGAGTGGTGGGTTGTGGCAATTATGAAACCCGTGACGCAGGAGTCGAAGTGTACGCGGGTGGCATTCCTGCGGACGTACTCCGTGCATCGCTTATTGAAGCGGGATCCAAAGGATATGGAGCATATGTGACTGATATACGCAACGCTTTCCTACTTGCCCCAATTCCATCGCATGAAAAGGTTCGAATCATACTTAAGCCCCCACGGGTCTTATATGATATGGGAATAGTGGGTCCAGACGAGTATTGGGCAATAGACAGAGCCATGTACGGGTTAAGACAAAGCCCCAAGTGGTGGGGAAACTATCGTGACGAAGTCCTTACCGCTGCCACATGGCAATGTGATGGAGAGAAGCTGCGTTTGAAGCAATGTGATCTGGAGTCCAATTTATGGACTATGACTTCAGAAGCTGGAGAAATACGCGGTTTTGTAGTGATTTATGTTGATGACATCTTGATCTTGTCAACCAAGGGCTATGCAGATGCCTTTCACTCCTATGTCTCCTCTCAGTGGGCATGTACCCCGCTTCAAGGAGCCACTGAAGACCAGCCCGTCACCTTTTTGGGAGTGGATATCCATACAGCCAAGGATGACCAAGGCGACACAGGATTTGAGTTGGGGCAGCCCGGATACATTGATGAGTTGTTGAGGTCCTACAACATGAACCCGGTGAAGAGACTGAGTCCTTTGCCCAAGGATTGGGTGAAGGACCTACCACCGCAGGAGGAGTATGATGCTGAGGCCCTAAGAAGGGCCCAAAAGGTGACTGGTGAGCTGCTGTGGATAACACAGAGGTCGCGAGTTGATCTCGCTTACCCTGTTAGCCTTATGGGCTCGTGGACTACGAGAGCACCTAACTTCGTCGAGCGTATGGGCCTCCGCCTGCTTGAGTATATAGGATCAACCCGTACCCACCGGCTTTCCCTAGTGCCAGATAACTCCCAGCCTCGTAGGGTGACAGTGTACACAGACGCGTCATTCGCCCCATACGGAGGATTTTCGGTGACAGGGGTCTTGATAATGTATCGAGGAAGGGTTGTGCTATGGAAAGGAAAGAAGCAGTCCATGATAACTCTAAGTACAGCAGAATCAGAGCTTCTCTCGGCTGTAGAAGGAACTGTGCTTGGACAGAGCACGCAAGCGTTGTTGCAAGAGTTCTGCCCCTACCTGGGTATAATGTTGTTGAGAGTTGATAACCTAGCTGCTATAGCCCTGAGTGAAGGACATGGAAGCGCTAGGACCCGGCACCTTAGAGTAAGAGGAAACTACTTAAGGGACCTTCAGGATCGTGGAGAACTTGAGGTTGAGCATTGCCCAGGTGACATACAACTTGCAGATGGCCTTACGAAGGTCTTGCCAGGACCCAGACACGACCTCCTCAGCCGCCTAGTTGGTTTAGGCCCACCTGGTTCGTTAGGTAATGCCTCGGTTGCCCAAGTCACGAGACAGGCGCAGGTTGCCAGCCCAGGTCTTGCCCAGGCATCAGGCGTTGCACAAGGTGAGGTTGCCAGCCCAGGTCTTGCCCAGGCATCAGGCGTTGCACAAGGTGAGGTTGCCAGCCCAGGTCTTGCCCAGGCATCAGGCGTTGCACAAGGTGAGGTTGCCAGCCCAGGTCTTGCCCAGGCATCAGGCATTGCACAAGGTGAGGATGCCAGCCCAGGTCTTGCCCAGGAGTTATGTAGTGTGCAGGGTCAGGTGCAAGGTCGAAGTGTCCAGAGTCAACCTGGAAGTACAGGTGGAGCCGTAACGCCCCACAATCCAGGAACCTTGATGGCAATGTTGACCTTTATGTCGAGGTTTGTTTGCTCAGGTGCAATGGACCACGATGAAGCCGCAGAGCCGTTAAGCTTAGAACTAAGTGCGGTAGTGTTGATGTTGGTGTTCTCTGTGCTTTTCGTCTGGGAAGCAGGAAAGTACTGCTTGAGATCATGCAGAAGCAGAGAAGGTGTGGAGGTCAGGTCTGCAAGGTTAGATGAGGAGGATACACAATCCCAAAGTAGAAGGTCCAGGAGGGAGGAGGCAGTGAGACGAGCAATTGAACGTGAAATGCCAGAGCTTAGGAGGAGATCCACTATAGATTCAAGGGATAATGACGTGTCGTCAGCTGAGGACTCCAGGCCTTTGGTGTATGTGGATGTGCGGGGATCACAGTTGAGTGAGCAGGATAGATTAAGGTTGGCGTCAACGAGCAACGAGCCCGCCAGCTCTTGTCATCCGCCTCCGCCACCACCTAATCCATATCCTCCGTCAGCCCCTGGAATTTCGGCTTCTATTCCCACGGCACCGCCCTTTGGAATTTGTGCCCCTTTGCCTTCCTCCTCAACCGACTCCAACCCCGCTTATGCAAGGTCGAGATCTCAATTTGAGACATCGCATACTGGTGTGGGTAGTGATTTACCGAGGACGAGAGAAGTAGGGATTCAGACTATGAGTCCAAAGGGACTCTCACACGAGGAGTTGTGTGAGCTTGAGTTCACCACATCAAGTAGTAGGACGCCAGGTGTCATACACATATTTCCAGATTGCCATGCACTTCGGGGTGTCAAAACCAACAAGCGAATGATGTGTAGGTATTGTTTGCAAGCGGCATCCCGGAGTGGCAACTAGTGATCTACTTCCTTAAAGGAAGATATCTCAAGGAGGAGTGTCGAGATTCCCCTTGCTGACATGAGCTAATGACGCAGAACCGCAGCCAGAGGCTTGCGGTGGTCGCAAAGACCAGACACGGCTCACGCCATGATAGGCAGAAGCCAGCATGTCATGAACATTCAGCATAGCAGCACCGAGTGCGCTAAGCAGAGACATGTGTGAGGCATGTTCGTTCTGACTGAAAAAGGTAGTAGTGTGAGCCCATGGACGTGTGGTTGCTTCTGTGATTGAGAACTCCCACTACATGGCTGCTGCTACTGACGAGGTTAATCCTAACCTGAATGATGACCCATCTTTGACGCGACAGGGTACTATAGGGGTTTAGGGTTTAGGGTCTACTTGGAGGATCATGGGACTTAGTTGGGGTTATAAGTACCTTAACTGGGGTTATAAGTACATGTAACTGTAGTTACCTTACTTATAACCCTACTTACTAAGTCCCATGATCCTCCAAGTAAGGCCCTATCATATGCCTTAAGGACGAGATGAACCCTAAAGGGGTTTAACGTTCATATACCATATAGGGGTTCATAGTATATGGGTGTAGGGCCCCAACTTTTAAGGGCCATACTACATCCTTCGCCTCGCATGTACTCAAACTTTTCATTCACGCTCTACAAAGCCACACTGACCAAACCCTAAAGCCTCTAACCTGAAAGCCCGAATCACCCTACCCCCCCTGTTTGAAGACGAGCGCTCAGACCAGCCGAGGACAAGTTGTGCATCGAGCAGAGCGATGCAGAGTTGCGAAGCTGTTGGAGCAGGGGAGTGCAGAAATGAGGGCTCCGCTTTTTGGGAGTCCTTCTGCAGGTGTCCTAGTAGTACCTCTGCGCTCTGGTGATTTTCGGGTCTCCTTTTACAGCCGGGTAGTAGAAAAGAGGTATATACCCTTGCTACCCAGAGAACCCAATACCCCATAAATAAAGAATATACCTTAAAGAAAAGGGGCCTTAATATTATGATTTAAGGTAGATTCCTCAAATAAGGGGTATTGGGTTCTCTGGGCATTGAGGGGCTACGGGTGGACCCAGTTCTTAGACGGATCCTGTCGTTCAGGATCTCTCTTTCGGCTTCCTCCAAGTTGCTTTTGAGAGTAAGGGTCGAGAAAAGGGGCTTAGGGCAGACTTTACACCTTGAAAGCAAGCCCACAAATTAAAGTTTTTGGGGCATGCACACTTTAAGTCTCGGAGCACTCACCTGTGAAAACATATACATATATTTATACCCGTATCTAAAAGCACGTGTACATATACATCTATGTATATACAATATATATATATATATATATATATATATATATATATATATATATATGATCTATATATACATATATATATATGTATATATATATATGTATATATATATATATGTATATATATATATATGTATTTTTATATTTGTATATGTATACTAAGAGGCTGGTTTACGGTAGTCACATTTGGAGCTGTTACTGGTGCATTGCAGCTCCTATCACTGCAGATCTCAGCGACGTCATGACTGTCGATCCAATAGCCCTGAGGATGCTCAAGAGTCAAGAAGTAATCCTTACTGCGATCGTTAGTGTTAGGATGCATCATTCAATAATGTAGTTGCTTTTGCAACTGAAAGAGTTGCCGCTCTCACTACCACCCAAGTAAGTGCCACGAATACTTGTTGCGGTTCTGTGATGGTGATTATTCGAGTGTGGTCGCGGCACTTCCTTCCGAGTTCTGCAGTTGCTGTCATGAACAGGTCTTGTGATCTTGATGGCTTCTATATACTAGGACCAGCGCCACTTCACTAATGTTGCTGCTTATAGCAGTCCTCGGCCCCAAAACCCCGAAGCCCCTAAACCCCTAAACTCCTCAAAGGATGAGCCCTAAGCTTTACGCTCAGCAACCTTTCATCATGCTTTCAGTCCCTAAACTTTAAACCCAAAACCCTACCTTAGCCCCAAATATCCTACCTTTTTCGGGGTTCATAAACCCCAAACCTAAACCCCTAAACCCCCAAACCCTAAAACCTTAAACCCCTAAACCCCTAAACCGCTAGACCCCTAGACCCCTAGACCCTGCACCCGAAGACCTGAAGTCCAAGAAACCCTGAGGACCCTTTTTTGCAACCCCCCTGTGGCTGCTCTGAGGCTGAAGCAGAGAGGGATTCTGAACCTGCCAGGCTTCTTTGGCTTGCTCTTATGCATATATATATATATATATCTGTGTGTATATACATATGTGTATATATATATATATATATGCATACACATATACATGTAACCGCACACACACACACACACACACACACCCGCGCAGGTGTACGTATACAGACACACATACACATCAGCGTGTGTGTATATATATATATATGTATATGTATATGTGTTTGTGGTATTTGACCTAGTGCTGGTATCTCTTGATGGTGTACCTTTTTCAAGATCTTCTGTTTGGGGTCCATTGTCAGAGGTTTTCGGCGTGTGGGTTGTTTGGTTTCCACATTTGCAGTGGTAAGGCTTTAGGGTCTGGAGATTTTGCTGTGCAGGGTGTTTGAGGTTTTGGGACCATGGGCGCGAGTGGCCCCAAGGTCCACATAGAGTTGAGGATTTCAGGCGTTGCTGGGTTACATCATCTCAATTTACCCATAAGCTCCATAGTAGTTCCTTGTTGGGATTACCCGAAAGGATTCTGAATATGAACCCCAAAAGGAACTCCTATGGAGCCTCTAGGTAACTTGCAGATTGCAGGTATGTCCTTTCCTACTGCAGGAGAGCAGCCTCATTTTGGTTACCTGTGTGTTTCCTGCATGAGCACTCTGCGCCTCAGACTTAGGGTTCAGAAGCCCTAATCCCTTCCCCCTAATATTAAACGCCTCCCCCCCCTCCCTAATATAAAAACTGGATTTCGGAGGTTTAGTTTTCATATTAGGGGGGTTTCGGTTCGGTGCATCCACGTACAGTCAGACAAGTCAACAGCGAGCAATTCCTGCGCAGCCGTTCCGGCTGTAGACAGACCAGACAGTCAGCTTGCCTCTGAGCCCTAAAGCTTTAGCCCTGAACCCTAAACCCTTAAACCCTACAGTCTAAAGTTCTGGTGTCTTTAGTACTGCTGTAATTAATCTTTGGCTCTATAAAGCCCTGTGCCCTAGACTGTAAGCCCTAAAGCCCCAAGCGCTAAAGCTTTAGCCCTGAGCCTTAAACCCTTAAACCCTAAAGCTCTGCTGTCTTTAGTGCTACTGTAGTCTTCGTTCAATTAAAACACATACAGATCTGCCACCCCCCCTAATGTTGTCCCTTTTAAATTGAATGTAGGGCCCGAATCCGCGAAATTCCGGGGGCCGGGAGTTTTTATATTAGGGGGGGGGTTGAATGTTAGGGGGAAGCGATTACACCCCAAACCGTGCAATCGCTTGCTTCAGCGAGTTTCCGAAAATTAGGGGTACCTTGTTTGGGGGTCCTTGTAATATGGATCCTACTATTTAGGTACTATATTAGGGTCCCCTACGTTTCGCTCGTATGGTTTGCCGGGCTTTCCTGGGAGCAGGAGTCAGATCTCGAGCAGCTTTGACCCTTCGTTTCCCAAGATTCCGTCGCCCAGTACTACCCTCATAGCCATCTTTTGGCGAGACTTCCCTGTTAGAACTGAAGAATATGACGAAAGGTAGCCCATATTCTTGCAGGAGTATTGGGCGACCCAGATTGGGAAGGTTATATAGCAGCTTGAAAAAGTGCCAATATATTTGCCTAGGGTTCCTTATCACAGCTATTCTGTCATACACCCCAAACCTCTCTCTTCTAACTACTCAAGCCGTTTTCTTAAACCCTTATAACTACTCCTATAGACCTCTTCGAAATGTAGAAAACAAGTCCCCGAGCCAGGCTTCTTGCTGAGTTCCGAGAAGCTTCTGTCCCTTGGCTATGCCTAAAAGGTCATGGGACTTACGGCTGATGATATAAATCCTGCACTACCTTAATGACCCTACCTTTAAGGGGCTCTTTAAGGGATCTATAGTAGGGCTTTAGGGTTGGAGGGTTGATGATAGAAATCTTGCATTACCCATAATAACGTATATACCATAAATCCCATAGTCTAGGGTCCTTGAAACAAACTCTCTCGTGAAGCTTCCTTGAAGGTTCACCGGCAGCATTAATACTAGAAGAGTCAAAGGCTTTTTCGTCGGAATCATAGCTCAAGACATGTATTTTGTATCCGTACTTGGCACCCAACTGTGCGTGTACTCGGGAACCCCCAATGTAGACTGAACAGCAGCCTGCCATAGAAACCGCCTTATCGACACTGCCGTGCACCCGCAAACTCAAGGACCCCTTAAAAGTAGGGGCCTTATACTATGAATCCCTATATGGTATATGAACCTTAAACCCTTTTAGGGTTCATCTCGTCCTTAAAAAGTTAACCCGGAGCCTCCGAGCTGCGTGCGACTTCTCAAGGTAACACTCATTGGGTTAACTTACCTTTGGCTAGGAGGGAAAGGAGAAATGGGGTACAATTATAACTACTATTACCACCATTCTTCCATTCCCTACTAACCAAAGGTAACTATAGGGTTTAGCCTCTAGAATACTGTGTGCGTGTGTGTGTGTTGTAAGTATGGAGCGACAATCAAACTTCAATCCCCAAGGAAAGTTCCGCACACGCGGAATGAGAAGTCCTACAAGCATTTGGTGTTGGACCCGGAAGCTGTAAACCTCAAGCTGAAACATCCAAACAAAGAGCGCAAAGCAGGATCCCAGGACGGACGCTCCATGGTAGGACCCTTCACCATACAGACCCTTGTGCTAGAAACCCCTTCATTAGCGATCATGGGACTTAGTAAATGGGGTGATAAGTAAGGTAACTACTGTTATAGTTACATATAGTCTTGGTTAATGTACTTGTAACCATACTTACTAAGTCCAATGATCCTTCAAGTACTCGAAGTATTCAGGCTCTTGTTTTCTTTCCTCAGCAACGCTATGAGCCCTAAACCAGCCAACATATGCGAAGGATGCCTTTTGTTCTTCTGGTTGGCTCTTATATAGGACTTTTCATTTTGGGCTTCTATATGAACTATAGTAATAACGAGGCTAAAAGTTCAACTGTTAGGAGAGGTTCAGAACCCAGAGGGGCCACAAACAGCACCCTTATGGAATTATCAAAATTATGCTCCCGTTTTGGGCACTCTAAATATTAGGTGCCGTACTATATTAGGGACCCAAAAAGGGACCATAATTTTGACAGCTGCCCACATGGAGCCTCTTGGGAAGTCCCAGACTCCCGGGAGGATCTAGAAAGTAGATCCCCTAATTTGGGGCCCTATACTACTAAGGGTACTTTATAGGAACCCCCATTAAGGGATCTACTTTTTGGATCCTAAACCCTAAACCCCTAAACCCCTAAACCGTAAACCCTAGACCCTAAATCCCTAAACCCTAAACCCCTTAAGGGATCGACTTTTTGGATCCTCCAAAAGGGGGTCTGGGGTCAGCCAATCATAGGGATCCTTAGGGGTGTAGGGGGGAGGGGTGTAGGGGACTATATTTCCTTAAATAGGCCTTATTCGTCCTTATTATGGGCCTTAAGGCCCCCTACCCCCCCTCCCCTTACACCCCTAAACCCTAAACCCTAAACCCTAAACCCTAAACCCTAAACCCTACCCCCCCTCCCCCTACACCCCTAAGGATCCCTATGAGCCAAGGATCCTCTGGTCGGAGCATTATTTCAGCCGTCTTTGGTGCGTGTCCCCTGGCATGGTCTCCGCGCTTTCGGTGTCGCTTTGCGGGGTATAGTACATGGGCCTTACTTAAAGGATCATGGGACTTAGTAAGTAGGGTTATGAGTACCTGAATTAAGGATATATGTAGTTATGATTGTAGTTACCTTACTTATAACCCCACTTACTAAGTCCCACGATCCTTTAAGTATCCTAAGGCCCCAAAGTAGTTCCTTTTGCGGGTTCGTATATAGAATCCTATAACGTGATCCCCAAAAGGAACTACTCTGGGGCCTCTGGGTACTCATTACCGTATCATTACCTATACTGTTCTGAGGTTCCTTATATTATAGTCATAGTATAGTGATTTAATGGACCCCAAAATCCTATTCTATCTACTAAGGCCCCGATATTAGGGTCTGCTGTTAGGGTTTAGGGACTTAGTGGCCTAGTGTTTAAGAGTGTGCGTCGCGGGTTTAGGGGTTAGAGGTTTGGAGCTTAGCGGGGGTTGGGGATTGGGGGTTTGGGTGTACCTAGAGGGTCATACCCTACCCCTGTTTTTGGATAACCTGGTTTTATGGTTAGGATCTGTTTTGTAGAAACTTCGGTACCTTAAAAAAGGGGCAGCGTGCGAGCCACGCTAAACCCTTCTTGTAAACCTTGTTCAACCCTCAGACGAACCATTAATGAGACCCTTTCCCAATTAAAAACCATTCTTTTCATCCTCACAGGAAGCTTATTTCATTTCTGATACAAAGGTTCCGACACGATGAACCGTACAAATCATCATCCACCATTGGTAGCAGCCTTGAAGATTTCCGAAAGGATACTAGAATCTACATCTGCCCCGAAACCCTGTTCTAATTCGTAGAAGGTCCCTACCTGGACCCCAAAACTATGTAGAATCCTAACCTTTTTTAGGTATTGGGCCAGTATTTGCCTGCCTGTGGGGGTTTACATACAAGTATAGCAACAGGTACCCTTACTGAGCCCTAAACCCAAAACCCTAAACCTTAAACCCTAAGCCCTGAACCCCTAAACCTTCATCTGTGTGTCAGGTTCGAGATGGCGACGTATCTCAAGGATCCAGACCCTGGGTGTTTGGGGTTTTAGCTTTTTGGCTTTGGGATTTAGGATTTTAGGGTTTAGGGTTTAAGGTTTGAGTGTCGGGCTTTGGAGTTTGGGATTTTTTATAAAACGAGCTTCGGGGGTTTAGGATTTGGGGTTGGGGGCATATGGTTTAGGGTTCTTATTAGGGCGTGACGGGTTTGGGTACCGAAAGTCATTCGCAGTATGGAATTTGGCATGCTCTGCGCAGAGCTTGTTGCAAGGTTTCAAGCTTTAGTGTTTAGGATTTAGGGTGTGGGTTTTTGTGTTTGAAGGTTTTCGGGCTTCGGGGTTAGGGATGTGTGCCTTTTTGCGCTGTGGGTGCGGTTAGCCTATGCTTAAACTATAGACAAAATATGCGAACGGACTGCGATGCCTTGTCATGTTCTAAGGTGTCACTATAAGAGCTGTGAGCAAGACCGTGTAAAGTGCAAGAGAAGGGGGCACGCTACGCGTCCCTCGACTCTAGGGGGCATGCTACGCATCCCTCATCTTTACCTTTCTATGTGACCGCCAACGCAACGTTTGGCTCAAGTCAATGCCCATAGCTAAGTGCTATATGTGTCTTCTATCCTGAGCAATCAGAGCTATCCCGTTGCACAGACGAACCGCCGCCGGCAGTGAGTGCAAAAGGAACGGCCGCCGGTTCTGCCTGCATAGGATTGCACGTGTGGAAGTAAGAGGGAGAGACAGGGTCCAGTCTGTGGAGAGTGCTAGCCAGCCACACCTACATTCATTACAGCTCTGGTGGGGAGAGCAGCAACCAAGTCGAGATCAATCCCCCACGCAGGTTATCAGCCGTACGCGGCTCTGCCTTTCTACAGCAACGACTACTTGATCTACTACGACCACAATGAACTCAGGATCAAGCCAAGATACGACAATGACTTTCGGTGCCGATGTGGCAGCGCCAGCCGTTGGTGAGTCAACAGCTGATGACACAGTGGTGCAATCCGTTGATAGCTCCACGGAAGATGACAAAGGTCAATCTTCTGCGCTTGCCATTGCAAAGGCAGTTCCCAAGGGGAAAGCAAAGAGTCTACCAAGAGCATCTACGCCTTCACGTCCGACATCCACAGGTTCGAGGACGGGCAAGGCTTCAGAACGACGGGCCGAAGCGTCTGGTTTTCAGGCACCTCGGACTACGTCCAGGGCTAAGGACAAAGGAGTCAAGACCTTGGAAAAGAAGTCAAGACCATCATCTTCGAGAAGCTCTTCAGCACGATCGAGGACTTCGGCTACTCGTGGGCGTGACAAGTCCATGACTTGGAATCGGATGGTTACCAATCAACCACGCGATACTGACGATCTGGACATGACTCTGGATACGATTCCTGCACGTGGTGATGCGTCATCCGTGGCCACGCCTGCAATAGCTGACGGTCCGAATGCCTACCAGGAACTGACGATTTCGCAACAGTTCGAAGCATCGAACCTTGCACAGCAGATGTACTATCGCAGTCAGGTGCAAGAATACGAAGGAATCGTCCAGACCCTGATGGACAAGATCAAGGAGATGCAGCAAGAAGATGAAGGATCTGGAATTCGCATTGAGGAATTGGAACGACAACGTGATCATGCATGCTTAGCCATGAGGCACATCAACAATGTCAATCAGGAGATGAAGCGAGACTATGAAACAGCTTTGTTTCGCATGGATGAGCAGAACTCTGCTCAACAACGTCAAGCACATGCCGTTGCCGAGGATTTAGCTCAACAGCTACACGTGTTTCGCACGGAGGCAGCCACCAACTTTGTGCAGTTGGAGGCAAGAGCGCAAGGTGATGGTGAGCTTATGGCACGTGAGTATGAGCGTCTGACTCATGAACTTCATGAACACGCCAGAGAGAACTTGGTCCTCCGGTCAAACACAGCAAGTTCGGAACAAGCCTTACAAGCAATGCAGGAACGATTCCACTTGGTCAAGAACCAGGAGTTGCGGGCTGTGAACGAGATCCAAGGGCTAGCTGGAAACAGCGCAGCCATTGAACAAGAACGATTTCGGCTTCGCGAACGTCTTGGTGAAGAGGAAGAGTACCGCAAAATGGCTGTGAAGAGGATGCAAGAAGCAGAGGAACGACTTCATCAGAATGAAGATCATGCAAGGCGATCATTGCCTACCTTGCACGACGAGCTGAGTGAACTCAGGAAAACGCTCAAAGCACAAGAAGATCTTCAAGCGAGGACACGCAGCGAATTGGAGGCAGCGCGAAACTCCAATCAAGGAGGAGCGACGCGACCTTCGAGCATGCCCATGTCTTCGAGGACTACTGAGTCTGGCTGGGAGCACGTAGGAAAGGATGTAATGCCTGCATTTTCCGTAGGAGATGAGGTACGATCCCCTGAAATACGGTCCCCAAGTCAAGTTAGTCCAGTCGCCAAAGAGAAGTTCGCATTCTCGGAATCGGACAAGGACAAGAACCTTGTGATGGACGGAATTCCATTCACCGGTGGAAACTTCTTCACTGGCCGCAGTTCAATGCCAATCGTGGCGGATGCAATGCCCGAGCACCACGTGCCAGGTATTAGCAGCCCAGCGCTTGCGCGTTCCACGCCTAGTGCAGCCACTTTGTTTGGCATACCAAGCGGATTTCATGGGAAAAGTGATGCGGCAGCCGTGCGTGATCGACAGCTACGCGAACTCTTGGGGGATCGCGGGATGTTGGGATCGAAGTCCACAGCATCGGCCAGCTCCTCAAGACCTGTTGGCATCGACGGTGTCACCGCATCTACTAAGGGCAACGACCTCGTTGGTCCCCCTGTCGCCTATGACGATTCCATCCATGAGGCAAGGAGGCGTCAGATCGAGAAGGAGATCGCGGAGCAGTACGAAGAGAAGATTGCTGATCTGCGAAGTGAAGTACTCAAGGCTCAGAAAGCCGAACAACGTCTCAGAGCTGATCGTGATGAGTGGAGATTATTCGCTGAAACGATTCAGGAAAACAATGGAGACGATGACGGTGATGAAGCTGGCGACGAGAACGGAGAGGAAGAGCATGATGAAGGTACCGGCACGGGGTATGATCCTCCAGATCCGCCTGACGACGATGATGACAAGAAGAAAGGCGGAGGGGGCAAACCCGAATCGGATCCTGGCTCACATGCGCGTGATCCTGATGGAGACGCGGATCCTGAAGTCACAGAGGTGAGAATTTCCAGGAGGGAAGCCGACAAAGTGACCGTTCCTCCATGGCCTACTCTCACTCATCTCAACAACTGGCGATCTGTGTGCACGGCAAATGTCTTAGGGGCATCAGCCGACCCACATCATGAGGACTGGATGTTATGGCTGGCACCAGCGTTCAACCCATTCCCTGATGTCGAAGCATTGAATGATTCAGGACACAAGAAGTTCAAGAGCATAGACGTCAAATTGGGGATCGCCATGGTCGCAATGCTACGTGCCGGTGGTGACAAATCAGCTGACCTGTACCTCGAGGTGAACCGGAAGGCCAACGATTACATCAGCAGGCCTGACGTGAAGATCATCAAAGGACGACAAGTCATTGCGATGATGTACGAAAGTTTTCGAACACATGATCGTCTTGACATGATCATCACTCTTGAGTACTTGGTGAAGCTCCAGTACCAAGGCGACAACAAGCTCCATACGTTCAAGCAGACGTGGTTGGAAGTTCTGGGACGGATGAGACCAGAGGACATTCCATCCAAAACAGCTCTCCGTGATTGCTTGTACAGCAAGATCAAGGACTCGCCCGCAATGAAAATGGACTTGGGCATGCACTATGAACACCTGCCCTACAATCATGAAGATCGATCGTACGACAACCTGATGAAGATCATTGATCGTACCATCATGCGGAAACGAGAACAGTCAAATCTCACTCAGACTCAAATTGGCTTGCGCCAGATGCTTGAGGGCAAGGATTTGCTTGCTGCACCGGCCAAGGTACCCGAGAAACCTACGCCTAACGCAGCTCCATCCGCAAAGGTCAAGGCTTCGCCGACCAAGCCGGACAAAGCAACACCTGTACTACCTCAAAGCAAAGCGAAGAGTCATGCGAAGACCAAGCCGAAGCCCAAGAAGAAGACGAGGAGTGAGTCAGCGGACAACAGAGGTGACAAAAGCAAGAAGCAAATCCGCTGCAAGTTCCATTTCACAGATGCAGGGTGTCGAAATGGCGATAAGTGTCCATTCAGTCACTCGAAGAAGACTCCAGAACGACCCTTCACGCCGAGGACGAGAACTCCAAGTCCATCTGGAGGAGGAGGAAACAGGATATGCTACTCGTTCAAGAACACAGGCTCGTGCTCAAGAGAGAATTGTCCTTTCAAGCATGAGGCAGCAGCTACCCCAGCTCCGGAACCAAAGGCAAAAGCTAAAGCCAAATCCGAAGCGAAGGCAGCTCCAGCGAAGCCGAATGCCAAGGCCAAGGCACTCCCTGCTGCACCCGCCATCAGATTGTGTCGAAGGTGGAATCCATCAGCTCCGGCTATATGGAAGCGATCTTCAAAACAAGATGAGGAGGAGTCAGATTGTCCATCCGTTGACAGCGACGCTGATTCGGATTGTTCAACAGATGACGAATCCTCGGGAACGACTACGTCGACCCGAAAAGTGACAAAGCGCAATGTGACATTTGCCAATGACGTGAAGTTCATTTCTTCGTGTCCTAGACGATCGAAGAAAGACAAAGAGCGGAAGGTGAAATACGTCGACATGGAAGCGTTTGTCAATGATGAGGATCGCGCCGTGAGCTTGGAATTCGCCAAGCACAAAGCGAGATTGAGGGCACAGATCATGAGAGACATGGTTGACGACGATGATGATCAATGCGGAGATCGAGTTTCATTCGTACGAATCCCAGGAACGTCTCGAGTGGAAGAAGTTTCGTTCTACGACGGTGAGGATTCCATCGTTGAGCGCGAACTCGATGCTGCACACAGCAAACGGATCATCAATCAAGGCTTGTTCAAATGTATGGTTCAACCAGTCATCCTTAAGAAGAAGATCA